GGTTTTCACACAGATTGTACAGAGCACAGCTGGTCAGCACCATTGACTTGTTCAGTGTCCAAGTCATTCCTTTAAGACTGTCGAAAGCATTTTCAACAACCACTGCGCTGTGCTACATTTTCAATTAGATACTTGCTGTTCATCTGTCACTCGCCCGGTGTCCTGAAAAGGTTTTAGGGGCCAGTTCTGCACAGGGTAAACAGAGTCCCCTAGGAGGTAATAACCAGCTATCACGATATTAAAATAAATCCATGCACCGCACCAATGTTACTGGTTACACGTCGCGCGTAAATGACGTGGTCTGACAATCTGACAAGAGGTACTATTTTCAATGGAAAAGCATCCGCACACGGCCGTGCCGTACCGTACCGTTACTATGGAAAAGCCGCATATGAGAACAATGTGTGAGATCAGGCGCTGAGCATGTGTTCGTACATCACTGTTGTGAGAGCGTTTAGTGACTGGTAACACCACAGTACCACCTCAACTCCAGGTTAACCTGCGCACCTTGCAGCTGCTCAGGTCAGTGTTGTGGGAAACAGTTCGCGAGGCACAGAGAGTTTTTGGAACAGCAACAACACGTCTGACTTTACATTGATTATATCTAATAGCTACAGTATCCTTCCTCCGAAACACTACGAGAAATGCGTCTGTAGTTTGAACTTTAGAGATCCCGCAGAGGCAGAGGCATTTTATTGTGAAAAATATCTAAGCCACGCCTACTTTTGAGCGAGTTGATCTATGATTGAGTAGAACTCACTCACCAGCAACAGCGCTAATAGTGTTCTCAGCTGAACACAGGCACTAACACTAAAATCTCTGATCGTCAAAGTTCCAGTGACGCCACGAATTAATATGCGACATCAGTAACATCAGTCTCTTATCAACGGCAACAGAAAAAGCCACACGACCTCAACATGATGTTGGTAAAAGCGTGTTGTTTCTCAGGACACAGTCTGCAGCCTGTTTGGACAAACTCTCTCCGACTGTGCGGCTGCGATGCTAATACTAATGTTGTTAGCACTCAGGGGAAGCTATCCCTTTACAGCAGCATCACTAACCTCTTGCTCTGCGCACAAACAGACTGCTGTTTCCTCAGGGCCAGACACGTTTATTTTCTGTCTTCTCAATTCTCCGCTCAAATTGCCGTTTGTTTCGCAGAGTCTCGTAGTTTAACTTGATATTCCTTCAGCCACTTTTTGCATGACAACAAGCATACCGGTGTTTCATTCACCTCCTTTTAAATAAAAAAAGTGAACTATTTCAGTTGATTTCCACTTTTTGTCTCTATGACAGAGACATATGGCGTGTCAGTCACAGAGCACGCTCTGGTGGAGCCACTACAGAGGCACTCAACTTGCTGCTGAGCATGGCGGCACATTGAGTCGTGTGGCGCCACAGAGCAGATATTTAAAAATGATTATTATTGTAGTTTTAAGTTAAATGAGCCGCGGGCCCTATCAAATCTCTTGGCGGGCCGGATCTGGCCCGCGGGCCGTATAATTGACACCCCTGCTTTAGACGCACGTCTGAAAGCACACAGTCAGTTTATGAGCTGATGATGAGTTAATAGTCTTTCTGTCATCGCCAGAACAACACGGTAGCAAATACCTTTTGGGCCTTGATTTTTTGTAATAATATGCAAAAACAGAATTTTGTGCTAAGCTATCAACATAAAAAACAGACTGTCCATGTCTGGTCCCTTCATGACGGCTTCACATTACATTGTTGTGGTCTTTAATAAAAACAATAGAATCTTGACGTTTGTGGCCTGTATCTGGTCTGATCCAAGTCTGGTCTCCGGCCTGCTCTGTGGTCTAGTCCCTGGTCTGATTAGATCCTTGGTCTGGTCTGGCCCATGGTCCCTGGTCTGGTCTTGTTTGTGTGAGCTTAACGAGGTCCCTGGAGCTCTCTGATCTGTCTTAAACTCGCCTCCCGTCTCTTTGGTCTCAGATCTGCCTGAGGTCAATTCTGATTCATTCTCACATTTTTTGTTTTGATTTTCAAAGATAATTTTGTTTATGTGAAAATCTGAAAATGTTTTTAACAATTGTTTGTGTCTTTGATCTGCAAACATCAACAGACACTTTTCCACATCAAACACATTGTCTTTGTGACAATTCTATTTAATTCATGTTTAATAACATACAATGTTTCTGCTTAAATGTGTTACAGATTCAGACTGTTTTTAAATTCTCTGATCCATGAACACCAGAAGAATTAGTATTTTTAAATTCTTCAAAGACAAATGTCACTTTTCAAATGTTTCTGTCTCCCTTTGATCTGTATACATCAGATACATGTTTACATTATGATGTCACATGTTCTTGTCTGAGTCCACTGTCCTATTTCCACTCAAACAGTCGTGTTTCTCTGCTCTATTGTTTTTTTATATGTTAATAATTTACGTGTGTTTTATGCATTTTAATCCATTGTGCTTTAAAATGTTGTGATTTCAGAAAATTGTTCACTTAAATCTGAGGTACGTAACTTTAGTCTCATAAATAACACATGTTTAAAGCTGGGGTCTGTAACTCTAGTTTCATAAATAACAGATGTTTAAAGCTGGGGTCTGTAACTCTAGTCTCATAAATAACAGATGTTTAAAGCTGGGGTCTGTAACTCTAGTCTCATAAATAACACATGTTTAAAGCTGGGGTCTGTAACTCTAGTCTCATAAATAACACATGTTTAAAGCTGGGGTCTGTAACTCTAGTCTCATAAATAACACATGTTTAAAGCTGGGGTCTGTAACTCTAGTCTCATAAATAACAGATGTTTAAAGCTGGGGTCTGTAACCCTAGTCTCATAAATAACACATGTAGTTCGAACCGAAAGAGTCTTAATTTATAATGTTGTGAACAAATCTCATTAGAAATCATGTTATCTTTTGTGTAAAAACCCCCGTGAGTCACTTCTGACTCTTTGGGTGGAGATCTGATTGGTTGGTCTGAAAAAAACGGGAGGCCAGAAATACATGATGTGAAAACTATAGTGATAGAAGCAAATGACCAGATACAGACCATGGAAAAAAAGAATTAGGTGAATTCTACGTGTGTATTTCTCACAAATTTGCTTTTTCTGTTGCACGATTACTGATGTTTTCATTTCTGTTTGTCAAAAAAGTCTATAACCTTTTTGACAAATAGTAAATATAGATTCATTTATTTATAGATATTGTGTTTGGAAATAAACACAGATCAAGTTTGTTCTGTGAGTTTAAGATTTTCTGTTGTTTGACTGTAATTAGTTTGACTAAATTGATGTTTTTGGTTTAATTTTTAACTTTGAAAGATTAGATCGGATTAAACCTGCGTTCGTCCTCAGTGGAAATGTCAGTATCATTGTTGCAGAAGAATTAAGAAACTCGGACGCAAAACAAGATCTATTTAAGATTATAGCTGATAAACTGATAAACTGACGGATAATAAACTCTGGCGAGAGAATTGCATTTGGGTCAATGATATTTGAACTTGTGGAGCAGACATTGTCGTCAGGAGGTTTTTCATTTACAGATGTTAATGTTGTACAGAAGAGAATAATATCATAATAAATAATAATAATAATAATAATAATAATAATAGCAGCGTGTAAAGAGACTTGTGAATTGTCAATACAGCTGAGCAGCATTTGTACGGGCTCAGCAGAACTCATTGTACAGAGTGACAGTGGGAAATATTCTTTCACAGCTCTTTCATTACTTTTTAGAAAACGCTGCTGTTTCGATGTTGATTTGAGTGAAAATTTCTTGTGCGTCATGTGTGTAGTGCGCACAGTGTCGTGTGTGGTTGTGTTTCTGAGCAGATTCTTCATCCCGGTTCTGTTTTGTGAATCTGAGTTTTTCTGGATGGTTTTTGACGTTTTCATCTCCTGTTTTCTCATTTACACTTTTGTGACTTTTGCCTTTGATCTTCAGGACGTCCGATAAGAGGGCTCCCTTTTATTGTCTGCCATAGTCTGCATATAAATATACAACGCTAACCTGCTAACCACAGATAGATGGACAATGCTAACCTGCTAGCTAAATGAAGCCTAATAGGGAACTGCTCATGGAGAAGTTTGGCTCCAACTTTTTGTGGCTACTATTTACTTAAGTAAATAAGTAAACACTTAAGTATTCATGTAAAAGTAAACCTACATCTAACCATTTGTGGCACACTCATCATTTTTGTCTTTTGTCTGTGGCTCTCTGTGATCCTGGTGTTGTTGATAGTGATATTGTCTTTGTAAATCCAGATATGAGCCATATTAGGATTGACCAATTAGTTGCCTTCTTTCAGGAGGGAAATTTCAGCTTTTCTTTGCAACACGTCGGCCCCTGTTATATCTCAAAGCTAACGTCACATAACAAATGCCCATATAATCGGCTCCAGTAAGCTTATGTTCAAATCGGCCTCTTCCCCATTCTGGAAAAAAATATGGTGATGTCACACTTTGTCAGTCTCTGCTCATTAATTTCATTGGGAAAACTCTTCTATGCTGTACAGAGACTGAAGTTTAAGGGGACATTTAGAAGGTGATACCATGAAATCTCATTGAGATTCAAACATGATCAAGGAATCTGCAACGCAACCCTCAACACATCTCAAGCAGAAAGCATAGATAAACAAGTTGGACTGAGCAACACTCCCCTCCAGTGATTGAAGTCTCGCAATTGTGAATCTAAAATGGTGCAATGTAACTGAGTGTGTAAAGACTGTGTAAAGACATGTGACATGTGACTGAAATGTTGCCGCAACCAAACCGGTCAACATCGAGCTGGGATTGTCACCCGAATCACATCAAAACCTTCTGTTTAGGGCTAAGATTACTCACAGTTTAGATATTATTAAAGAGACAAATGAAGAGAGTTTGACCTTGAGGAACGCTAAAGTCAACAACTAAATCCTCAGTAATTGTCTGTGATTCTTATTGTTGCAGTTTCCACAGGAACCCTTGTTAAGTACCCGCCCTCTGAAGCCAACAGCAGGAGCCTGAGGCCTGAGGTTCGGGACTCGAACATGAACTCATCTGTGGTGCTGGCGGGCTTCCAGCAGCTCACCCCAGTGCGCTGGCTCCTGGTTCCGCTCTTCTTCTGTGTCTGGATCTTCATCCTTTTGAGCGACTCCCTAATCGTCTTTGTCATCATCACTCGCCGAATTTTGCACAAACCCATGTTCATCTTCATTGCCGCAGTCCTGGCAAACTCGTTCACAGCCAGCTGCACCATCTTCCCCAAGCTGCTGTGGGACCTGGGCTCTGGTCCAGTCTCTGGTCCAGTCTCTGGTCCAGTCTCTGGTCCAGGCATGGTGCGCGTGCCCCTGTCCTCCTGCCTGGCTCAGGCCTTCTGGCTGCACTTTATCGGCAGTTCCAGCTTCATGCTGTTGGGGGCGATGTCTCTGGATCGGCTGCTGTCCATTACGCGGCCGCTCCACTACGCTGTACTCATGTCAGCGCGCAGAGTGGTGTGTCTGCTGCTTTTCTGCTGGCTGTTTCCGCTGCTCCTGATTGGCTTCATGATGGCGCTGTTAATACAACTGCCGCTCTGCCGTGATGTGGTGCAGCGCCTGTACTGTGACCCGTACACTGTGACGAGCCTGAGCTGCGCTGGGGGTGCGGCGCAGATAGCCGTGCTGTACGGCTCGGTGGCAATGGTGCTGGGGCTATTTGTGCCTGCGGGATTCGTGATGTTCTCGTACGCGCACATCCTGTGGGTCTGTGTGTTCCGCTCTTTTAGCCGGCGAGCACTGCACACGTGTGTGCCGCATATTGCTGTGTTTCTTAACTATGTGCTGAGCTGCGCCTTCGACCTCCTTCACCGCCGCATAAGCAGCACACAGGGCCACAGCGTGCAGCTTGTTGCCACGGTCGCCTCTCTGATTATGGTCGTCATCCCCACGGTCTTCAACCCGCTTGTGTACGGACTCAAGGTCAGTGAGATCCACCGGCAGCTCCGCGCGCTTCTGCGGCAGATGCGGTGACGCCGTTGAAAACACAACACAAAGGAATCTTTCATTCCCTTTTTTTCATCTTTATCCATTTATTCATCCATTTCTGAGTCAGGGGGTGGCAACCCAATTCCCAAAGCACCAGTCCCTCGCTGATCCTCCTGCAGGTGGTGGGTCCACAGGAAGATGGCTGCTCCTTCAATGAAGACATGGCCTTGGGACACAATGACAGCAGACATCAGTGGGAGCAGGTGACATGGGTCGTGGTGGGATTGAACCCACGACCATTTGGTCCAAAGACCAGTGATCTACCATCATCAATATAGGGGCGACGCCGACGGATTAAATGTATAATGTTCTGTGTATGGTTGACTCCTCGCTCCCTCTACAGATCTGATGATGATCATGAGGAAAGAGTGGGAGTCAAGGCCTGGTCCCTGAGTCTGGGAAGAAATATGAGGCATGAGGCATGTTCCTGTTATTTAAGATTAATAAACCAAATAAGCGAACAACGCCCCCTAGACCCATAGGAACAGGCACTTATGGGAAAGACACAGCACCTCAAAGTCTCATTTTTATTAATACTAATTTAAACTGTTGTTAAAACCTATTATTTGTGTCTTAGAGAAAGTCATTGACAATAGCCACATGTTATAATAAAATATCCAAACAACAAAAACATTTACCTGAGTATCCTGTATACTACAGCATCTCCCACAGACATCCCTTCAGTTAGAGCCAGAATTCTGTGACACTGGAAGCTCTTGATTAGGCAAGGCAAGATTATTTGTATAGAAATATTTATAGAAAAGGCAAGACAATATGAGTTGTATGCACAGCTACGTAAATAGAACTGTTTTAACCTGGATTTGAACATTGTCAGCGAAGGAGCCGGTCTCAAATTTTCAGGAAGATTGTTCAAGATTTTAGTTGCTTGAATCTGAAATGCAGCCTCAATGTTTAGTCCTGACTCTGGACACCAGCAGGAGGCCAGTCCCTGTGCTTCTCGAGTCCCAGCAGGAGGCCAGTCCCTGTGCTTCTCGAGTCCCAGCAGGAGGTCAGTCCCTGTGCTCCTCAGAGTCCCAGCAGGAGGCCAGTCCCTGTGCTCCTCAGAGTCCCAGCAGGGGGCCAGTCCCTGTGCTCCTCAGAGTCCCAGCAGGAGGCCAGTCCCTGTGCTCCTCAGAGTCCCAGCAGGAGGCCAGTCCCTGTGCTCCTCAGAGTCCAAGATCAAATTGCTCCTATTAAACAAACTAATTAAAGACATTAAATGAGTGCACTCCTCCGCATGTTACCAGAAAGCGAGAGCTACAGGTCATGGTGGCGGTGTTACATATCGTATACCAACTTACTTTTAAATCCATTTTTTTTCCTCTCTGAAATGACAAGCCTCTATTCATCAAATAATGTGTACTGTTTTTTAAGCTTTATTTGATTTTGTAAGGTAGCATACATTCAACAAACAAACAAACAAGATTATGTGGAGAGATACATATTTTAGGGGATACAGCAGATTGTGTGTGTGTGTGTGTGTGTGTATGTGTGTGTGTGTGTGTGTGTATATGCTTGTAACTATGGATGAAGGCTTTAAACTAAGGCTTGATGGAGGCAGTAATAGTGACAGCAGAGGAGAGAGAGAGAAGAGGAAGTGTGTATAGATAATGCATCGGTTTTATATAGCGCTTTTCTGAACACTCAAAGACGCTTCACATGTGTCATTATTCATTCACTCCATACACGGTGGTGATAAACTACTACTGTAGCCACAGCTGCCCTGGGGCACGCTGACAGAAGCGAGGCAACCAGTATGTGCCATCGGCCCCTCTGATCACCACCAACCATTCACACACACACCAGACTCATTCTAGGCAATGGGGGTGAAGTGTTTTGCTTGAGGACACAACGGCAGTTTGGCACTTTACAGCCGCAGCCTCCCCACTGTGGCTGGTGTTCCCAGAGGTTAGGTGTCTTGCCAAGGACACAACGACAGCAGACAGTGGGAGTCGATGGTGAAAGTCAGGCTCAAACCCACGACCCTTTGGCTCAAAGGCCAATGCTCTACCAACTGAGCAACTGCCGCCTTATGTAGATACATACAGATATATACCTACGAATATACATATGCACATACATACATAAAATATAATATATGTGTAATACATATAGAATATAGAAATTATATTATATAGGGTTATCCAAACAGATATGCACACACCATATTTAGAAATATGATCCTCTTCCCCTTTCCATACGTCTGGCCCCTCCATCTCCCACCGTGCCTGTATGTGCAGTGCATTAAAAACATTTGTGAAATGTGGTGCATTAAAAACTCAGACATACTTGGTAAAAGATGGAGGGGGGATGTTTTTTTTCCACTCCTAATGTATTTAGCTTATTTTTATTATATACTGTATGTATATGTAAATAAATACATATTTACTAAATGATAATGATAATAATATTAAGCAAAGGGATAATTAAGTATGATCAGGATAATTAATTATAGGGAGAATTAATGCATAAAATAAATAAAAATGATACAGCCACTGCCGCTGCCATCAAGAGGATAAAATCAATACAATAATAATAATAATAATAAAAATAGTTAAATATTATAGAAGAGGTAAACAAGAAGGCAAATAACTGAGTGATCAAGAGTGAGGAAGAGACAGAAGCAAAACAAAACACACCTAAGTTGATTTCTGGGTAATGATATAGATTTCAGAAATGTTGTCCATAAAATGTTTTATACATGCATTAAGAGTTCCGATCTTCCGGCTCAACCGCACGGCATTGTGGGTAGTTTTCTCAGAAAGGTGGGCATCATAATCACAGCACCCTGCCTGGATTACATGTGAACGTGAACTTTCTCTCTTGTTTCCAGCCCACAGATTGTTTAGTTTAAAAAATCACCAATTTCAGACATTTCGAAGGTAAGGTAACGATTTTTTCATTTAACAAAAAAGCAATGCATTTTTTTCTTGTGGTTTTAGATGTAAACACAACCGCCTGACTATAGAGCTACATGTAGCTTATGCTACTTACGAGGATGAATAACATTTCTGATCAGAGGATTCAGAGTGGGGACATTATTAAGAACAAACAGTGAGCTGGCAGTATAGAGAGGTGTGCAGTACAGAGAGGTGTGCAGTACAGAGAGGTGTGCAGTATAGAGAGGTGTGCAGTACAGAGAGGTGTGCAGTATAGAGAGGAGGTGTGCAGTATAGAGAGGTGTGCAGTACAGAGAGGTGTGCAGTACAGAGAGGAGGTGTGCAGTACAGAGAGGTGTGCAGTATAGAGAGGTGTGCAGTATAGAGAGGTGTGCAGTATAGAGAGGTGTGCAGTACAGAGAGGTGTGCAGTACAGAGGTGTGCAGTATAGAGAGGTGTGCAGTATAGAGAGGTGTGCAGTACAGAGAGGTGTGCAGTACAGAGAGGTGTGCAGTACAGAGAGGTGTGCAGTACAGAGAGGTGTACAGTACAGAGAGGTGTGCAGTACAGAGAGGTCTGCAGTACAGAGAGGTGTGCAGTACAGAGAGGTCTGCAGTACAGAGAGGTGTGCAGTACAGAGAGGTGTGCAGTACAGAGAGGTGTGCAGTATAGAGAGGTGTGCAGTATAGAGAGGTGTGCAGTACAGAGAGGTGTGCAGTACAGAGAGGTGTGCAGTACAGAGAGGTGTGCAGTACAGAGAGGTGTGCAGTATAGAGAGGTGTGAAGTACAGAGGTGTGCAGTACAGAGAGGTGTGCAGTACAGAGAGGTGTGCAGTACAGAGAGGTGTGCAGTACAGAGAGGTGTGCAGTACAGAGAGGTGTGCAGTATAGAGAGGTGTGCAGTACAGAGAGGTGTGCAGTACAGAGAGGTGTGCAGTACAGAGAGGTGTGCAGTACAGAGAGGTGTGCAGTACAGAGAGGTGTGCAGTATAGAGAGGTGTGCAGTAGAGTAAGTTTATAAAGCTCGTGTAAGCATTTGATCCTCGTAAGTAGCATAAGCTGCATGTAACTCTATAGTCAGTCGGTTGTGTTTACATCTAAAACCACAAGAAAAAAAATGCATTACTTTTAGGTTAAATGAAACAATCTTTACCTTACCTTCAAAATCTATGGGCTGGAAACAAGAGAGAAAGTTCATGTTCTTCAACCTGTGAACATATCTCATACATATTGTATTACATGGACAATTTAGACTCCCAAGCTGACACTGTTGTTAATGTTATAATAGTAAAAAATAAGCAGAAGGCGCCGTGGGCTAAAGCAGACTCGGTCAGGGCACAAAAGAGAGAGTGCCGGAGGGCCGAGCGGAAGTGGTGCAAGTCCAACCTCCAGGTTGATTACGAGATCTTCAAAGATAAGTTGTGCGAGTTTAACCAGGTGCTACGTAGTACGAGAGAAAGGTATTTTTCTGAAATGATTGAAGGCTGCAGCAACAATCTGCGTGTTCTGTTCTCAACAGTTAATAGATTAACAAACCCCCCTGTTCAGATGCCATTAGAGCTTACTTCCAAACGTAAATGTAATGAGTTTGCAGACTTTTTCAATGACAAGGTTCAAGGCATCAAAAACGCCATTGTCTCCAATCCACAGATAACCATCCAACAGCCTAAAAGGCTCTTTGAGCTAACTTACTTTGCACCTGTAAATGATCAAACTGTCCAAGAGATAATCTCCAGTTTGAGCTCCTCCACATGCAGCCTGGATGTACTACCCACTAGATTTCTAAAGTCTGTTCTGAGCAGTCTGTTACCTTCACTCACACAGATAGTAAACATGTCCCTTAATTCTGGAATATTCCCAAAGGCCCTGAAAACTGCAGTCATCAGGCCCCTGCTAAAAAAGAGCAGTCTGGATGCTACGGTACTTAACAACTAACGTCCCATCTCAAATCTGCCATTTATGGGGAAAGTCCTTGAAAAAGTTGTCTACCAACAGCTAAATAGATTTCTTATAATCGACAACTCATTTGATATGTTTCAGTCCGGCTTTAGACCCCACCACAGCACTGAGACTGCTCTCGTCAAGGTTACAAACGATATCCGGCTGAACACTGACGCAGGCCAAGTCTCAATCTTAATCCTGTTAGATCTGAGTGCTGCCTTTGACACTGTCGACCATGAGATCCTCTTACAGAGACTAGAGGACTGGGTTGGCGTCGCTGGCACCGCCCTAAGTTGGTTTAGGTCTTACCTTGAAGACAGGAAGTACTTTGTGGAGATTGGAAACTGTGTCTCAGATCATATGGCCCTGACCTGTGGAGTCCCACAGGGGTCGATCCTGGGACCTCTTCTGTTCAATCTCTACATGCTGCCGTTAGGTCAGTTAATACGCAGAAACAAAGTGTCCTATCACAACTATGCAGACGACACTCAGATCTATGTCTCACAGACTGCAGGAGAACATGGACCAGTGGACTCACTCCTTCACTGTATCCAACAGATCAGTGAGTGGATGCAAAACAACTTCCTTCAGCTAAACGCGGACAAAACTGAAATGATTGTCTTTGGTCCCCAGAAACAAAGAGAGCGTCATCTGTCATCTACAGTCTCTCTCCCTAAAACCTTCAAACAAGGTCAGAAATCTAGGGGTAATACTGGACTCAGACTTAAATTTTAATAGCCACATCAAATCAGTAACATCAGCAGCTTTTTACCATCTAAAAAACATTGCCAGGATCAAAAACATAGTGTCTAAAGCAGACCTGGAGATTCTTATCCATGCATTTGTCTCCAGTAGGTTAGACTACTGCAATGGCCTGCTCACAGGTCTGTCCAAACAGGCTGTAAAACAGCTGCAGTACATTTAAAATGCAGCAGCTCGAGTCCTGACTAGAACCAGGAAGTACGACCACATTAGTCCAGTCCTCAGGTCCCTGCACTGGCTTCCTGTGGCTCAGAGAATAGACTTTAAAACAGCTCTGCTTGTGTACAAGTCTCTCCATGGCCTCGCACCAAAATATATTAGTGACATGTTAGTCCCATATGAACCAGCCCGGACTCTGAGGAGCACAGGGACTGGACTCCTGTTAGTGCCCAGAGTCAGAACTAAACATGGGGAGGCTGCTTTTCAGATTCATGCTGCTAAAATCTGGAACAATCTTCCTGAAGATGTGAGACAGGCCTCCTCTCTGACAATGTTTAAAACCAGGTTAAAAACGGTTCTGTTTAGCTGTGCATACAACTGAGGGATTTTATATTTTTATCTTTCTTTTTAATGTACTGTGATTATTTATGATTGTAATGCTATCTTGTTCAGCACTTTGAGTTGCCTTGTGTATGAATTGTGCTATACAAATAAACTTGCCTTGCCTTGCCTTGCCTTACCACACCTTAGAACAAATACATTTCAGTGAAATGATGATTGAGCGGAGTGTACGGATGGCTAAGGCCAGGCTAATGTTGTCCTAATGTTAGCCAAATATTACATCCACTGTAGTAAGTGGAGAGGGAATAAACCCTCTTTTCCCTGTTTCATCAACGAATTCAAATGATATTATAGCTCTTTAACATGAAATATAAATCTGACAGAACGACCTCCTATTTGATTTCCAAGTATCGTTTGTTTTTAACTATTCTATTGCATAATGTCAATTGTAAGTGAAGGTTATTTCTTCAAGTGCCTTTGCCCCCTAGCTTGGTTATTTTAGTCCTCTACTTGTGTTTGTTTATGTAAATGTTCTATTGGTCTTAATAAAGTTTAATACAAAATAAATAAAAATAAACATGTAATATACAATATTTGTATGCACAAATACCGATAAATATTTTTACATGCACGTCTTTATGGACAGTAACCTTACCCCATAGTTTTCCCTTGGGGGGGGGGGGGGGGCATCCTGGCTCACACTCCATTCCGGAAGTTGGCGGTATTAGTTGTTTGCCAACTGCCGTTAAAAAAGCACGAGAAGAAGAAACAGGAAGGATCGGTGTGTTGTGGTTTCGAACGCATCCCTCCGCAGTACTCACTCACGCGTTGACCCTGGGACTGACGCCTCTCCACGGAGCGGACCGGTGACATGTGCAGGATGAGAGCGCAGTTGCGGGAGATGGTGCGGCTGCGGCTGGACGCGGCGGCGGAGGAAATCTGCGTGATGTTCGAGGCGATTTTAACCGAATATGACCGAGAAGTTCACAGACTCACCGAGAGGGGACCGGGATCTGAGCCCCGGAAGAGTGGAGCAAAGGAGCCCGGGGGAGAGAGCCCCACTGCGGACACAGGTCAGCAGACTCCCCACGGCAACATCAAGTCTTTTTTGTTTTATAACTTTATTCTCATACACAACATGTAGTTTGTTCAACAGAACGTTTTATGAAGATTATTTTTTTTTAACAAAACCTCTTTGTGTATGAAAGAGTTCTTTGAGTCACTATTCGACTCTTTGAGTGTTGTCACTTTCCTGTCTGAAAAAGCTCATCCAAAGATGTGACGGATGACAAAAATACATGATGTGAAAACTATTGATGGAAGCAAATGTTTTAGAGCCAGGAACTATAGGCAGGTGTATTACAGAGTTATTTTGTGGTCTGAAAATTAGGTAACAAAACTGTATAGTTGTGTACTGGTGTGTCAGAGCCTGCCTATGAGATATACAGGTGTAATTTAGGCACAATCAAAGCAGTTTTCTCTGCTACTGCTCCATGTGGCTCAGGTGTAGAAGGTTCTAAAACTACACACATGTCGCACACGGTCTCTGACTTCTCCCTGTTGTCTCTCCTTGGCTCTCTGGTTCTGAACTCGCATCATGATTTTAGTTGGATTACGTTTTTTTTAGTTTTTTTAATGTAATATTTATATATATATATATATATATATATATATATATATATATATATATAAAGTGTGAGTTCCTGATTGTGACATCATAGACAGAAAATATGTTTGAAATAATTTCTGTTGAATGGAATAACAGATGACCAGGATTCATCACATTGCTTGAGAGCAGAGATTTTGGACAGAAGGGGAAACCAATGGAACATGGGTACTGGTGTTTGGAACCGGTTCAGACTGGTCCAGACTTTGTCTTGATCCGGGTTTAATCCTGGTTTAGCTCTGGTCTCAGTCTGGCAGGATTACCCCCCTCCCCCCTCCCTGTGGCCTGGACCTGGTTCAAAGCAGGACTATATTTGGATCATATGCTATTAGTGTAAAGAAACCAGAGACTGAACCAGAGACTGAACCAGAGACTGAACCAGAGACTGAACCAGAGACTGAACCAGAGACTGAACCAGAGACTGAACAGAGAAACAGAGACTGAACCAGAGACTGAACCAGAGACTGAACCAGGACTGACCAGAGACTGAACCAGAGACTGAACCAGAGACTGAACCAGAGACTGAACCAGAGACTGAACCAGAGACTGAACCAGAGACTGAACCAGAGACTGAACCAGAGACTGAACCAGACTGACTGAACCAGAGACTGAACCAGAGACTGAACCAGAGACTGAACCAGAGACTGAACCAGAGACTGAACCAACCAGAGACTGAACCAGAGACTGAACCAGAGACTGAACCAGAGACTGAACCAGAGACTGAACCAGAGACTGAACCAGAGACTGAACCAGAGACTGAACCAGAGACTGAACCAGAGACTGAACCAGAGACTGAACCAGAGCAGCAAAACAGTCACTTTCTTGTTGAGTTGAACTGCCGCAAACGTCATTTTACTGACGTAGGCCAATGACGGCTTGTTGGCCTGTGGCTAACTCAACAGCTGTTAGCTTACAACTTAGATTTTGTTTGTATTTCCAATATCAACCCGACAGACCCTTTTGTAAGCTATTAGCTGTCAAGTTTGCCACAAGACACGTCATCGGCCTACGTCTGTAAAATATGCGGCAGTTCAACTCGACAATAGGACTGCTATCACCATAGGCTACAGTAGTTGTGTGGTTTGACAGGTGCAGTTGACAGCTGAAACCAAATTTACACAAAACTTTGACTCTTAAAATCTAAAATTCACAACATAGAACCATCAACATCTCGCCTCAAATTTCATTAAAAGTATTTACGTATTTAAACTTTTAAAGCAATTCTTGGTTTGCTTCGGCTGCCGTGAAAAGCGCATGCGTAGGTTTGCATTACATCATAAACAGCTGAGGCAGTGTATCTCGACAAGGTGTTTAGTTTAGTTTAGTTTATTAAGATCCCCATTAGCCACTGAGATGCAGTGGCTAATCTTCCTGGGGTCTCCTCAAAATCATTACATGCTTTTACATATTTTTATACATAAATCACACACACACTCACACACGCACACACACGACGATATGACAGCTCAGTGAGAAATCATTTACAACCATGAAAAAAACAAAACATAAAAATAATAATCATAATAACAAATGAACTTTCTCCAGTGGCTTCAGTCCAACTCAAATATAAAATATTATATTCGATGTATAATTAATGTTCATGTGTGAAAAGATATAGCTTTAATTTCTTTTGAAAATGAATTCTCTCACTCTCTTTGATCAGAAAGGAGGGCAACAAGTTCCATGCAACCATGGCTCGATAGACTACAGTTTTCTGCATTTTATTTGTTCTGCGAGCAGGGAGCACACACCTTAAATCACTACTTTGCCGTGTGGCATGATCATGAAAATTAGAAAACAGTTTCAATTTATTATATATTGTTTCAGGATTGTGTGACACTAAAAAATTCCTGATAAACGTTAATAAATAATACTGTGTTCTGCTTTTTACAGTGAGCCAGGCTAAACTGTTGTGCATTGTTGGGACATTTGTTCTGTACGGGCAGCTCAATACAATTCTGGCAGCTTTGTTCTGAGCGACTTGTAATTTGTGTAGGTTGTTTTCACATGTGTTTGACCAAACCACCGACGCATAATCCATCTGGGAAAGAACTAATGACTGCACAAGTCTCTTGGTCAACCACTGTGGTATACATTTCCTACAGTGTTTGATCATCCTCATGCTGCTTCCCATTTTTTTAACTATACAATTTATGTGACTGTTTCATGACAACTTTGAATCAACTATTACCCCCAATAATTTTGTCTCTTCTACTTGTTCAATAATGTTTCCTTCTAATATCAAATATAATTTAGGTGTTGCTTTCAACATGTACTGTGACCCAATTAACATGCATTTTGTTTTTTCAGAATTTAATACCAACCTATTCTCGTGAACCCACTTTGCTACCTGAGATAATGTGTGCAAACCGATGTTACACTGGTCCAAACAGACACTCAAAAACAGGAGCTAACCCAGGATTTAACCAGGGCTGACAATGGGGGATGCAGTGTTTGTGAACTTCACCCTGAGTTGACATTCTACTGTGGCGGAAATACCTTCGTTAGCATCAAAGCCCGCCCACCACTTGCCTTGCATTTTTCCCCAATGCAGGGCAGCACGGCAGATTGACTAAATTCATGCAGCTGATACTTAGTGAACACGCGTCCTTCATTAACACACTTCCATGCATCGGCGGTGGGAACACAGCTTTAAACAAACCCATTATTTAAAGGTGTTCTCTGTTGATTTCCACAGCTCCTGACCATTACAGCTATGACATCTCCAGACCCACAGAGCCGGTCCAGACTGGTATAGGCAGGTCCAGACCCTTTGAGGAGGTTCAGACCGGTCCAGACAGGTCCAGACCCATGGAGCTGTTCATCAAACAGGAGCCAGAGGATCCAGAAGAACAGACTGAGATCCTCCAGGTCAAGTTTCAGACCGGACCTCCGTCCCCAGGAGCAATGGACCTCAGCACAGCACCACACGGTACTAAATATCAGAGAGGTCCAGACAAGATTCCTATTTCACGGCCCCCCTTTTTGACGTTCTGGTGAATGTTCAAGTTCCCGAGTTTGCGTCACTGTGACACGGGCTAGATTGTGATTTGATGGAAGAATAGAGATAAACTGAGATGTGTTTTAAATCACATTGATGGTTTTTCTTCAAAATATACATGTTTAAACTGTGTGTGTATGTGTGTTCTACCAGGTCTAGAGTGTGTCCTCTGCTTTGAGTAACTAGGTCTAGAGTATGTCCTCTACTCCTTGTTTGCACAGAAGTCTCTGGGGTTTGCTCATTGTGGTTTCCGTGTACGTTGCAGCTCTGGTAGAAGGCGTGAGGAGGAAGCCGCACATTTGTCCCATCTGCAGTAAAGCCTACAGCTGGAGATCCCACCTGGAGATCCACCTCCGCGTCCACACTGGAGAGAAACCTTTCGGTTGCTCAGTCTGCGGAAAACTGTTCTCCAAGAAATTGTACTTGGTCACTCATCTGAGACGGCACACAGGAGAGAAACCTTTCAGCTGTTCCATCTGTCATGATCGCTTCATCTCCAAGGTCAGACCAAGCCCCGGCGATCCAAGATGGCGCCCTATTCAAATGAATGGCTTGTGCTCAGTAGCGCATGGGACTTCATGGAGACCGGGAGATTAGCTGAACTCGGCTATATTTGGGCATCGTCTGGTCCTCCCGGTTCTGCGCAGTGGATTAGCGCAACGCATTATGGGAGATATCTCCCATAATGCGTTGCGCCAAACGTGCGTGTGTGGCTTTCATGCACGCGCACAGAGGGGCTCGGCTGCGCTCTGACCAATCAGAGCTGATCATCAGAGCAGCGGAAGAACAGAGCCAGAGCAGAAAACCGAAGGATTTAAGAAAAAAAGTTCAGGATGACAAGGGACACTAAAATCCCCACAAAATCCTATCTTTATGAAAGCTGTAGGTTCTCTGTCAGCTGAGGTTGTGCTGTTTTAATATACATTTAGTTTCTGGGTAGTTAGTTTAGTCTGCAATACCAGCTTTAAGCTAGTAATACCCTATCCAGTTATTATTATAGATCCATGGGTCAGACTTGTGTTCCTCGACCTCACGAACCTGCTGCTGTGTTTTGCTCCATCCCCACTAAAATCAGGAGCGTCCCCTCGCCTTCTGTCGTAAGGCCTGGTTTCCAAATTGCACTATTATGTCATCTTGAGCGCTGTAACAAATGTATTGGTCCTAAAATTGGTAGAAATGGGGAATTGTTGTTTACATCCAAAAATTTAGATTATCGTTGTTTGTTTGTCAGTTACATCGCTCCATGTTAGACACAATCATAAAAGCAGAGTGTAAGTTCTCCCTCCCTTCACCTGATGGCAGTCTGCCTCTCTGCAGGACAGTGTGGTGAAGCACATGATGGTGCTGCACCCATCGCTCTGTGCGTCGGAGCAGCGCGCCAAACACGTGTGCTCACAGTGCGCTAAAGTCTTCACATCACGCTCTCACCTGGAGATGCACCTGCGCGTGCACACCGGCGAGAAACCTTTCAGCTGTTCAGAGTGCGGGCAGAGCTTCAGTCAGAAGGCCACGCTGCTGGGTACGCACACAGGCATACACACACACACACACACACACACAGGGCGCACACACACAAACATACACAGAAACTGGGAAGAAATTTTGTCTGAGGCTGCGGTCACAAGCACAACCCGTTTTCACACCCCTGTGGCGACGATCCGGGCCACTTGGCCCAGTTTGTTTGTAAAAACCTATGTGACCGTGCCCTAAAGCCCAGTTAAAGTGGGCCTATGCCCAGATTGCGATTAGATCCGGGCAATTGTGCTCGGGCACGGTTGAAAGGGGTGGGCCTGAGCACAGTTGTAAAGCCCAGATGAGGGGGGTTGATGTGATGAGTGGAGGGGAGTGGGGAGGTGTGGTGGGGATGTGATATTGTGCGTCACATTATGTCTTCCCGCTGTGACGTGCATTTTTGCACTCGTCTCTCCCTGCAGTTGCATACTTTTGCATTCTCCCTTGCTTGCGTTATGCGGCGTTCAGACCGCCGGTGCTTGAACGCAGCTTTCATGCGCACTGGACGCACATTCACTACATTCACCCTGCTTTTACGCACCGCGGAAGTGGCGGGTGGGCTTCTATGCTAACGGAGTTAAGCTACCGGCTTTTGTGTAAAGTTCTTCTCCAAGAATGCAGCTCTGCAGTGTCTCTGTGCCCATAGACCTTGCACAGACTTTATATAACAGCAGCATGTGTTCACAGAGGTGCGCCATTAGTTCAATTTATTATTAAACGGTTCTTCCGTATCGGCGAACAAGCCATAATAGCACTATTTTACAGTCACGAGAGAATGAGAACTCAGGCTGGAATATTGGCTTAGGCTTGTCTTATTAAAAGAACCTTTAAAGCCTTAAACATAAGAAACAAATGAACTTTTTACATTTATCTTCAGTGTGCTCGCTCTGACCGTAGTGACCACTTTGCGGCTCTGGTTGGTCGCTGCACGTGTGACCGGCAGACAAAGTTTGATGATGTTTATCTCCTGCCTGCGTCGATTTGCCGGAATGCTGCGCAGTCCGTGCGTGCCGTGACGCACATACAATTCTACGCTTGAAGGGATGTTACCATTGACTTTGCATTGAAAATTGCCACAACGCATGATCCAGTCTGAACGCCCCATTACACCTTTCATGTAAACCCCTGGACTGTGGTAAAGGGGCGCAGGGGGAGTGTGTTGCTCGGGGCCGAAGGAAGGCGTTTCCCTCTAGGGATAACTCCCTTCTGTTTTGACCCTTGCTGTCACAGTGTGGTGCTATTTAGATAACGCTTCAAACTGTTATAAAGAGTCACACTTTATTTTGAGGCCAAAACACATCCATTCACTTGTATCCTGCCTGGCTCTGGTCGCTCTGGTCGTACTCCACACTTTTCATGTGTGTGTCCACCGCGCGCACACACACACTCATGTTACCCACTGAGCTGCTACACATCTGAGAAAGACACATCTCACACTTGTACACATTGACTCTGATTGCAAAAAAATAAAGAAGAAAACCGGTAGTAAACAGGAAGAGAAACGGAAATGTAACTCTCATCCCGAGGTAGTTGCTGAAGTTAGTTTTAGCACCACAAGCTGGACCGAGTGTACTAGACCGCTTTCAGGCTGGCACGGTTGAAAAAAATAAACCCTTCTGACAGCGGGCTGGCATCACACCCCTGTGGCGACGATTTGGGCCACTTGGACTAGTTCGTTTGTGAAAACCTATGTGACCGTGCCGCTATTCTCTTAAACTCTTATACCAATTTTAAGAGAATATAAATGAGGAGGAAAAACTTTTATAACATGGACAGAGACTGAGACAGGACATTTTGGCTCTAATGAACACTTTGATTCTTCCTCAGGTCATATGACGCGGCACACTGGTGAGAGGCCTTTCAGCTGTTCAGTCTGTGAGAAAACCTTCAGACAGAAGAACCACCTTCGGAAGCACTTCAACACACATCTGCGGAGGCTGCAAAAAGACTCACAGGGCTCCTCACTGCAACATGGTCCCTACTCCTCCTCACGGCTGGAGGGTTCCTCTTCCTCACAACTTCAGAGCTTCCCCTCCACACTGCAACAGCCCCCGTCCTCCTCTGTGCGGCTGGGGCCGGAACAGTTGCAGGTGCTTCAGGGAGACTCACCGCTGCAGGGTCCCTCACAGTTACTGGGTTCGTTCAGCGAAGATTCGTTCGACTTTAGTGCTTAGAACTCAGACTCCTGTGGCATCAGCTTGTTCCAAAGAGCGATAGTTTCACACTCTGGTGGACGGCAGCTGAAACCTCTCTCCTGAGGACTGAGGGAACTGTGGTCAGGGTCAAGTCAGATTCTAGTCTTAGTTTGTTGCTTTTCGGATTCTTCTTGGAACAATCCACATGAAATTAACACTGAGAACCACAACTTCTTCGTCATCATTTATCAACTATGGTCTCTCGCTTGTCCCTCTCTTGCTGGTCTCTCTTTCTACACTTTCTCTTTCAGAGAAAATAAATAAGTTTTACCGTTCTATTTTTATGTTTGACTGGATTCAAAATAAAATGTATTAATGTTAAAAACTTGTAGAAGGTTCTGGTGTCACCCTACAGAATGGCTGCCTAAGGCATCCTAAGATATTGAATGTTTCACATTGTAAAAATTCTATATTTTTTCAGTAAAGGGTAGAGATTTACGGGGGATCATGGGGAGAACCAACAGGAAAACGACAATTTAGGATAATACGGAAAGAGAAGAGGCCACCAAGACCACGCTAGATAGATTCTATTGATCCCCATAGAAGAAATTCAGGTGTCCAGCAGCAGAAGACTCATCCAGGTCTTTTGTACAGTCTGACAGCCATAGGCACAAAGGATCTCTTGAAACGTTGTGTATATATTTATATATATATAATAATTACAGTGAAGCAAAAAAGTATTTAGTCAGCCACCGATTGTGCAAGTTCTCCCACTTAAAATAATGACAGAGGTCTGTAATTTTCATCATAGGTTCACTTCAACTGTGAGAGACAGAATGTGGGAAAAAAAAATCCAGGAATTCACACATTGTAGGATTTTTAAAGAATTTATTTGTAGATTAAGGTGGAAAATAAGTATTTGGTCAAAATCAAAAATTAAACTCAATACTTTGACCTCTTATTGCCAACAAAGGTTATTACAAACGATTACTATAGGTCTTTACCAGGTTTGCACACACAGTAGCTGGTATTTTGGCCCATTCCTCCATGCAGATCTTGTTGAGAGCAGTGATGTTTTGGGGCTGTCGCCGAGCAACACTGACTCTCTCCACAGATTTTCAATGGGGTTGAGGTCTGGAGACTGGCTAGGCCTACGTTTCCATATCACTTTCAAATGTTAATCAGAGAACACATTATACATACATTATCAATACACATGCACAGAGGTTTTAAGAATTATTTAACGTTTTAATGAAAAAAAATGTTTTTATGCACACATAAAACGATTGCGGCAAACCCGGAAGAAGCTATTATCATGAATTGCACATTGTAGGACACATCTGCAGAGGATCTGATTATGGATATAGGTTCAGTATATACATAAGAACCTCAGCGCGGATGTTCAGAATTTTTTGTTCCGTTTTCATGTAGTTCCAGAGCCTAATGGAGGCTTGATTCGGAGGTGCCGAAAACAAACAACTGAGCATGTGCGCAGCTGCGCCGATGATTGACAGCCCTTGGCATGACTCGATTGGTTAACGTGGATGGCATCATGGATTCTAAGAGAAGGGAAGGCGGGACTTGCCCGTAATATTAGAATTAATAAAATGACTTATTTTATATCAACATTTAAGGCCAGGAGGTCAATTTAACACATTTCCTAAAATTTGTAATTCATTTAGAGTTACAGACTATCACTTAAAATGATGTGTCCTGTTTGATATATTGTCAGTGACTTGCATGAGTTGTATGGTCTCTGTACATCAACAATGTAGCGACCTAATCAGAACAGGAGTTAGAGCGAGAGCCAGACGGGCAGAGTTTGTGGCACTAAAGTGGGGATTTAAAGAAAACCGAAAGATATAAGAAGAAAAGTTCAGGATGACAAGGGACACTAAAATCCCCACAAAATCCGACCTTTATTAAAGCTGCACTAACTGATTATTTTTGTATTCATTACGAAAATGCTATCCATGTCCATGTAGTGCATTGGGATATACGTCCTTTTGAAGAAAAAGTAGCGCAGGTTTGTGCTGGCGTAACATTATATTTTAGATCGAGTTTTGATGAAACAAGGAAGAGAATGTGTTTCGGGTCGCAGATTGTGACCAATCACCGCGGACTACTAGGCCCCACTTTCGTAAGAAATCTACAGGTCCGTTAGCACAGGCAGCTAAGTTAGCACTACAAGTGGCGTAGCTAACCTGAAGCTTCCTCGTCTTCGTCATCGGTTACTGCTTACACAGCGAGACAGCCATCCAAAAGAAAGTCTCGTTCCTCCGCGCTTCCCGGTTCTATCGTTCTATGGTCACGCCATCCACGTGAAAATTCATAACTATGTATTATCCATATTGGAAGACGCTAGCTCCGTGAACAACAGTGGGTGTGTGTGGAGGGCAATGGCTTCGTGGGTGCGGGGAGGGGAGCAGAAAGAGGGAGGCCAGCGAGTCCGAGGCGTCAAAATCCCAAAGTCAGTTAGTGCAGCTTTAAAGCTGTAGGTTCTCTGTCAGGTGAGGTCGCGCTGTTTTAATTTACATTGAGTTCTATGGGAAAAACTTCTGGGTAGCCTACGTGAATTTAGTCTGGTCTAGTCTGCAGTACCGCGAGAATCCCCTGAGCACATGGGTTCTTCAGCTCCAAGCTAGTAATACCCTATCCAGTTATTATAATAGATCTATGGGTCCCGCCCACAAGAAAATTGTAAAAAAAAAACGCATCTGCGCATGCGTCAGCCGGCGCAGCTCCATTCATTTGAACGAGAGACTTCAAAAATTCCCCGCGAGTAAACTAGAGTGGACCAAAAAAATTCACCCCCCTCAGCATTGACACACATGTGGAACGGAGCTTTGGGCCAAGAGCCAACTTTTGGTCCATCCTGTAAAGACGTTTTCGAGAGGTCTGCCAATGCTATATGTTTGCATTGGCTAATTCTACTTCTGGGTCCACCCCAATCGGCCCGGGGTGGTATTGCAAGCATGTCAGCGCACGTCATTTTGGCCACTTTTGAGCTGGGACCCGCCCACACTGGTGACAACAGCACATGCATGACGACACCCACCCAGTCGTCCTGTTGTCTTGCTCAAAACAAGTGAAAAATGTCATGTAACATCATCCAATAACTATGGTCAGTGACTTCTGTAACTGTGATAGGAAACATCGTGAGCTATATTGCCTAACTCATTTTCCACTGTTTTTGTAAAGCATGTTAAAAGGTTAGTTTTTCCTTATCGCTATTTTAACTATACAAAATGACTTGGGCAATAATTCTATGTGCCTAACGACATGTGATGGCACATGGTATGAGGAGAAAACCATATAAATTGCTTTCTCTGCATTGCATTAGTTTACTTCTTTAGACATTTCGTGGACAATTCATCTGTTCAGGATGTGCATTTATTCATTAATACACTGTAACTTGTGTGACGGACAAAAAATAAATAAAACACGTTGTTGGTTGTAACTTATTGTTTGCTGTCTGCGCATGCGCTGTAGACTGAAAAAAAACCTCCGCCGGAGGTTACGCGGCTGATACTCCAGTTTCCTGTATTAAAAATTGTACGCGCGATAAACCGTGTAGGATGCCCAGCTGTTCCGCCATCGGCTGCTCCTACCGGGGCTCTGACCGGTACTACAAGGGACTAAATGTGCGGCTCTACCGGATCCCGAGCCCCCGGACCCCGTTCGACGAGGAACGCAGAGAGCTGTGGGTCCAGGCGCTGCGCCGGTCCCACTGGGGCGAGAGTGGCATCAGGAACGGGAGAGTCTGCAGCCAACACTTCATCACGGGTAAGACCTGGACTGTGGCTGAACCAGGTCTGAAGAAGAACTATAGCAGGTTTAAAACAGGACTAAACCAAGTCTCAAACAGGTCTGAACCAGAAAAGCACCGTGGTGAAGTTGATTGGATATTGGACATTCGGCAGATATTCAGTGCGGGGAAGCGACGGGACCCGCGTGATACTCTCGGTTTCTTCTACGCTTATATTTAGGGACCCTCAACATATTACGCTACTCTAATGTTTTGCTATTATGAACGTGGATACAAAAAAATAGTGTAAAGGCTACAATACATTAATTAAAACGTCAAAAATATTAGAAAGCTATTACAATTGTTCTGTGATTAAAATTAAAAGTTTTTCTTCAACAGTTTTTCAGGGCATTTGACCCACTCATCCCAAGCCACATTATAAAATTAGTATTAGCTGTGGCTTATGGGGCTCTGGCCATGAAATCTGGCTTTGACACTTCTACTGTATTTTACAAGTGTTTTACTCATAAAATGTGGCCTTTTCCTCAATAGCTTGTTGGGCATTTGACCCAGCAAACCCAAAACACTATAAAATAATAGTACTCACTGTGGGCTATGGGGCTCAGGCCCCGACATTCTCCACACACAGCTCTGCAATCTAACTCCTTTAGAGGGGTTGAAGGTAAAGCTGCAGCTATCGAATATTTTGGTGATCGATTATTCTGTTGAATACACAGATCGATTAATCAAGAAAAGAAAAAATGAAAACAATTTAATAATGACAACACAGTTTATTGCATTTATGTTATGAAATGAAGACAAGGCAGCGGCAATTGCACCTGTACCACGGTTTATTTTCGAGTGCTTCCATATCAAACAGAATCAGATGGGGCAAATGTCTCTGAGCAGCATATTTAAAATACTATCCATCAGAACAACTGCTTGTGCTGGAAGCAGGAACTGATCCTAAAACAGTCTCTCCCACTTCTCCGTGTTGATTCTTCAGGCTGCATTTGTGTCGAGCCATGAATTCTTCTGTGACGTGTCTTTCAATCACACGTTTCAGCTTCAGTGTCCAGATTCAGAAATATAATTCAGTCCAAATTATGTCCAAATTCAGATATCCAATTGTTCCAAATTATGTCCAAATTGTGTAATCCAATTGTTCCAAATTATGTCCATGCAAAAGAGGACGCTGGTGTTGTCCATGTCTCAGCAGCTCACAGCCTGAGTGGAATCAGGGGCTGTGCAGATTGTCCAAGTGTGCTGGTCCAGATGCATGGTTTCTCTTGAGGTTTCTCAGTTTTGGCTTAAAAAACAAAACACTTTTTGTGTAAAAAAAAGTAGTCTTCTGTTCTGTAGATGTTACAGACAATGCCCGCATCCTCCACCACCTGAAGAAGATGACATGTCTGGGATCGCGTCTTTAATTCAGACAGAAGACATGTTTTATTGTCGATGGTAGAGACAGCACGAACAACACAGATACAACAGAATGCAAGTGTATTATACAGAGCAGAGGCATGGAGACCTCCAATCAGCAGCTGCCACAGTGCCATGTAGCTTGGCCTTCAGATAGAAAAAACAAGGGAAAAGTACTGGCTTCTGAACATTGATAGAATTATGAGTTTAACTTTAACAAAAGTTGCTTAAAAGTGTTATGAAATCTCACAACAGGCTGTGAAGCAGATGTTAAATGTCAATCACACACCCCTTCCAGATTCAAAATGTCCTATTTTAGATAACACTGCTGACCTGACCTCACACGTCGTGCATCTCTGCAATGATTATAATATGCAATATAGAACCACATGTGTCTGACTATATATTTCTGCACTAGAATACTACACTACAGCATTTTATACTTGTTTGTCTTTTAAAAGTTAGAACTTTTATTTAATTTTAGTATATTGTTATTGTTCACATCTCTTGTATTGTGTGCCCCTCATTCCTACAGTTCTGTAACTGCTGATGGATCTTGGTCCACAGTGTTCACACAGGCATATTGATTATATACGGAGTTCAAATAACTTGTGTAGTATAATAACATAATACATGTGTCATGTAGGTACTGATAAACCTTTCTGCTTCATCACTGCGCTAACAAATGAAAGGATAACTGTAGGCGACAAGTGGCTACAATGATAGCTTTCAACCATACTGCTTTGGCAGCGTTTGACTGTTCGTAGGAGTGGAAAACCCCTCCGTGTTATCATAATCATCAACGTTTTACTTTCAGAATGCGCGCCTTACACCTTACAATGAAGGTTGACTAACGTCGTCTCAGGTCTTCTCTCGATGTATCCTCGTCAGGTGCTGCAGCATCCAACTGGTCTTAACACGAGATGCTAGCTCCACTTAGCAATGTGTGCAAACTACTCTGGTTTTCTCAGTGTGAAGTTCTCCCACACTTTAGACGCTTCTTATTAACTCTCCTGTCTTTGCCAGTGCCTTCACCGTCATCCGCCATTGATATAATAATATATCTGGGCATTGTCCGCGAAAAAGTTTTACAAACTCTAGCGATGCATGCAGACCGGTGAGATCTGTCACATAAGCTTGTTGCGTAACAAACAAAGAATCCGTGTCAAACGTGAGCAAAATCTATGGAGCAAACAAGGCAAAATGCCGCAAAAAAACTACTGTATACGAAGCATCGAGGCAGCGGAAATTAAAAGACTATTTTTAATTATCGAATTATTAGTTATTAGATTAATTGTTTCAGCTCTAGTTGAAGGCTTCATTTCTCTGCCGGTTTTCACAGGGAGAGGCGGCGAGTGGGTGTGGCCATACTCATACCCACGTCTTGGCCACCACGTGTTGGAGTTCTCCCTGGCGAAAGAGGGTTGCGTCCCTCTCTTTCGCCGGGGAGAACAAGTCTCACTGTTGTGACGGCCTAAGGGCCTAACGGAAGTGCAGAGTGCTCGGCCTTCTTGGGCCCAATCCCAATACCCACACTGCACCCTACACTCCTCTACGAAGTGTGCATTTGTTCGAAGTGCACACAAGTGTTGGAGTGGCAGGTTACAAGCGTGCAAAAAAAGGCGGAATTGGGACAGTGCACCTGAGTGCAGGTTACGTCATCGACTCGTCAAGAGATCATTTTCAGACTTAAACTTTATAAATATTAAAGGTCATTTTGTCCGACCCTGTGGTGAAACAAAATGAGCTGCAAACAACATACATTTATTTTTACAAACGTAAAAATAAATGTATATTGGTTATTTGTAATTTTAGGTAGCTGTATAATTTTAAGATAAATGTGGGTAACTAACTGTTATCTTGTCAGTTTTTATACATCCTGAGTTTATTGTACTGTAAAGTTTAAATTGAATGTTATATGAAAGCTTGGATTGAAAGTTTTTAAATTGTAAGCATATAATGTCTGTAATTCTTCAATTAGTCATTTATGCTTCTATCCAAGTAACATAGAGACATTTATTTACACACATACAGCATATATATTTCAAAACTTACATTTAAATGCATTTTCCCAACGTTTTGGTGTGTACCGCAAAGAATTATGGGCAACATCCTTCGCCAAAGTCCGCATAGATGCAGGCTACGGCGAAGTGTGGATCAGGGGCGCAAAGGGGGCGCGGCCAAAGACTTCCCTGGAGAATTGGGACACCCTACGCACTCACACCCATCATCGGGAACGCACAAATGAGGGGCGCGAGGGTGGAAGTGAGAGTATTGGGACTGGGCCTTGGAGTACTTTGGAGGAGTACTGGATGGTGCACCAACCGGGGTCTCCGTTGTTCTCTGGCGGGACTTGAACACCCATGCAGGAAACGGCAGTGACACTTAGAGAGGGGTGATCGGGAAGAACGGCCCCCCTGATCTAAACCCGAGCGATGTTTAGTTGTTGAGACTTCTGTGCTAGTCAGTCAGGTGAAGAGAGGGGCGGAGCTGTCAACCGATCACCACCTGGTCGTGAGTTGGATCCGCTGGCAGGGGAGGAAGCAGTCAGACCTGGCAGACCCAAGCATGTAGTTGTTGTCTGCTGGGAATGTCTCGCTGAGCCCCCTGTCAGACGGACTTTCAACTCACACCTCCAGGAGAGCTTCTCACAGGTACCGGTAGAGGGGGGGACATAGTCTAATGTGGCTTTAAGACCGCCAACGCTGAAACGCGGAAGCCCCGCTCACCAGACGCGCATTCTCTAGTTTTCAGACGCACAGGTCTTCACACCAGGACGTCCTGACGCGAGCCGGAGGTACCGGAAGTAGCCGGCCGGCTCTGATGCTAACAGAGCTATGCTAGCGGCTTCTTGTGTACAAATCTTCTCCAATATACAGCTTTGCAGCGTGTCTTTGCTCACAGCCATTCCACGGGCTTTATATAACAGTAGTATGTGTTCACGGAGGTGCGCCATACGTTTTTTTGTATTATTAAACGGTACTTCCGCATCGGCGAACACACTCAAAGCAGTTGCATAGGGTCACGGGAGCCTGACAACCCATATTTTCACAAGCACAGAGTCCCCCATTGTCAACCCTGGTTTGAGTTCTGGTGAAGTCTGGTGTGGGTCCCGTTTTGGCTGTTTATGGGTATTTTCAGTCTGCTCGCTCAGTCCGCTAATGTCCCCGTGACCACTTTGCTGCTCTCTGATTGGTTGTCGCACGAACGTCCCAAGGAAAGGATGAGCAGAATCCATCTCCTGTGGGCGTTGATTTTTCGCTCCTGCTCCTCCCTTTTCACTTTCCCGCCAAGTCCGTGCGTCTCTACTGAACAGTCCTCTTGTGCGAACCGAGCGGTCTGTGCGTTGCGACGGTCAAACGCGCGTCACCATAGACTTTGCATTGAAACCTGACGCAACACATGATCCGGTCTGAAAGCACCATGAGAGGACCATGTAATATTTGTGGCATTTGAACCAGTCATTCCAAACTACTTTTAAATATTAGTAAATATTAGAGTAAAATACAGTAAAAATGTCTAAGCAGAATTTCATGGTCTAAGCCCCATAGGCCACAGCTAGTACTAATGTTGTAATGTGGTTTGGGGTGAGTGGGTCAAATGCCCTGAAAGCTAT